AATTTTAAGTAGGCACATGAAGGTTGTTTATGCATAGTACTTGAATTGCAGGTGATATAATTGATGTGTCAGTCTCCAATTGAATTGCAGGTGCATTACCTTGATCGAGTGACAATACTGAAACACAGAGTGGCTCGAGTTACACCAAGAGCAAAGGCATGGACAGATGTTTTAATTTCAGAACGGGATGCATTGGAGATTGATAATCTCGGAGGTTATGGAAAAGGAAAACTAGTAAGAGCGATAATTTTTTTTTGATGGATTTTAACTTACTAGTTTGTATGTATAGGCCACACATACCATGTACTTATGAAGTGATGGTTTGATTTTGTTTTCGTAGATTGGGACGCATGAAGAGGAAGAGGTTGAATCTGGTGCACAGATAAATGAACTACCCCCTGAGCTAGTTGGAATAATGATGGACAGCGGGCATCATGATATCGCAGTAAGCTGCCTAACTATTAAAACTGATACTTCATTATGCGCTATTGTTGCTTAAGTTAAAGTTATACATTTTTTATGATTTGAACAATCATTTGTAAGCAGCCACACCTACGTGACTTAGGAAAGTAATCTTGTCAAATACAATCATTAAGTGTTGACGTACAGCATACAATCATTTTGTGTTTGCTATGCTTGACATACAAAATCAGGAAAGTTAGTTGTAAATGGAATATGGGACAAAGAAGTAACTTAAGCTTTGTAAAAAGGTGGCAAGATTTTTCAAATGCCGATCACAAATAACACTAGTGTTCAGCTATAATCTAGCTACATTTGAAACGTAGTCTGCTCTGTTGCTTGTTCCATATTTTATGGCAGAAACGAGAGAGAAAAATATTCTCGAATATTATTTATGCAAAATACAAAGTTAATTGTATATTTCATGCAATTCGTGTGCCAAATACACCTTAAGTCATTTTCATGTATATGGTGTACATAACTTTTCTTGAAAAATATTTCACCAGCTGAAAGCGAAAAGGCAGATTTCATGAGATCCATGAGGAAGTAATACAGATCAATGCATAATATGATGAATTCATCTGTTCGGATTAAGTCGAAACGGGTTATTCATTGTGGTTTGTTAATGTATAAGCAGGTTGAGCTTTTAGAAGTGTACAGTATGACAGTGAGTTGTCAAAGAAGGATATTAAGGATTGCAGAATTGCTGTGTTCTCAGCCTAGGGCCAAAGCAACAGCAACAGAGGTCGTTTCAAACGAAAAGCAGAAGCAGAGGATGTCTGATTCAGAGCAAATACATCTTGATATGGACAGTGAAGATCATTCGGTATATGAATCGGCAGAAGCAGGAAAGGACTCCAATGCTGACGATGACGGTGATAGTGAAAAAGAACAAGATGCAGGCGGTAATGATGATGACATTGGGACCCCAACCAGAGCAATAGATGAGTTGTAACATACACCTAACTGGTTGTAATGCAATCCATACATAGTGAAACGTACAAGCCACTAATGTGTAACTCTTTATCCACGTGACCCTTAATATTGGTGTACAGGTCATTTCATGACAAAAGCTGCATAATTTGTTTTATTGTCTGAACAGATGTGACACAGTTCAATGGCGTGCATCGAACTCTACAGCTTCCACTGCCATGACAAAATTGTTTGGCCTGGAATGCATTGTCCAGTGATATTTTAGCACATTGTTCGGGTCCAGTGGACTATAAAAGGGCGCGGGTGCAGTAGTATATCCCTCAACAACAAAAATTTTTCCGTCCACCTTTCATTACTAAAACATTTTTCATTTTAAATTACTTCACACTTCCCATATCATTCTACTGAAGGGTGGCAATGAACCCGTGCCTGAAATTTATTATTAGTATTTTTCAACCCGCCTCTAACTTCAATTGCAGTGTCATCAATAGAGGATTCACACAGAAATCAAGTTCTTGGGTGCCAAATAGAAGCCAGTAGGTTGTATGATGTTCGAGAAGATCTCACTAATTTAATGAGATGTTCGAGAAGGCCTCGCTACATTAATTGTTTTGGGGTTCGAATCGACCATCTTTATGTTCTCATTAGACACTTACTAAAGTATCTAAGAAATTTTATGTATTGGGGGGAGGACTTGTTGTTTGTGCCAAGTGCAATTACACAAACAAGAGAAGAGGAAAGGTTCATCAGATATTAACTAGTTGTAGTATCACTAGTTGTAATATCAGGAAATTTCTAGTTGTAATATCACTAGTTTTAATTGGATAAGACGAAAAACTGCCGATTGTAAATTCATTAGTTGTAATGAATTGTAACATATATATAACCAGTTGTAACTCAAAATGGTACATGGCGCAATCAAAATTTGTTGCATTTTAAATATTAGTTACCCTACTTTCAAATTACTTGTCCCAACGAAGTATCATGTTCTTCTGCGAAACTGTTACTTATTATGTGGTCACGTGGAACCAAGCCGAGCTGCCAATTGTAAGTTCATTTCTGTACTGAAGGAGTACTACCTATTGAGTGCCTGTAATACTATCTGTAATACTTATCATTAATACAATTATAAATAAATTGTCTAAGTTTTAACATACAAGCAAATGACAAGGTGCCTGTACAAGCACATCAATAAGCGGTAACAGCTTATTAATTTCTTGTAACGTACATATGCTGGTTGTAACTTCTTGTTACACTTAAAAAGTAAGGTGACTGATGTATAACCGGGTATTCACGACCCAATTGTTGTTGGAGTACAGGTCATGATCCAATCGAATTGAACCATTATTTCATCCACACACTATACATTTGACCAAACGTTGAGTCTATTCTCTCGTTAATAGGTGGTTGCCATGCCTTCATCTACTCACCCAGGAGTACTATCCCGTGGAGAACAGCATGAAATGACACAGCAAGCAGTTGGTCAAGTTGCCAGAAGAAACCATTTACTATGCATGGTCTGAAACAGGTGCTCCGTTAAAAATTTCCACCTCTTTTTTTCCCCCACCTATTTCTTTATCAGTAGATCCTTTCTTTCATCCAACCAAAAAGCAGTAGGTATCAACATAGTCATGGAATCCACAAACGAAGGATCTCATACAAGCTCACTATCAAATGTTCGGCAAAAAAGACGGAAAGTATCGTTGGATCTAACAAATACAATCAGCAAGTACGAAACACCAGACGGAAAGATTTTATATGGTACCAAACGCGAGTTCAAGAACGCTCCGCTTAACACCAACAACTCTCTGGGACTAGTTGGTCACATTTTTAAAAATACCGTCAATAATCATCTACCGTCTGGCTATTCCGTTATAGACCATGAACCCATATGGGAGCCTGTTCATGAGCGGAGAATGGAATTAGAGGTATTTTGTCGCTGGCATGGCCTCCGCGTCCCGAGAACAAGGTCGGCGGATCTTGTTATAGGACCAAAAGCCAATGATGCAAGCGTATTACATAGACTACAGCGAGAAGTTATGCAGATGAAGCGTAGGCTTCACAGGTTTCATGAGATCCAAGCCGCAAAAAGACATGGTATTGAAAAACATTTTGATGTTCAGCACATTTTAGCAGATCCCATGCTTATATCCGATCCGGACCTATCTGACTTTACTGAATCAAGCGACGATGACTTTCAAAGGTACATACCCCATTGTCTAATGCATGACGGCGTTCCCAGGTGTTGTATGAGATACAACTGATAACAAGGGATGTAGTCCAATGTTTGTCAGGGTAGCGATAAAACTATACTCATTATAATCTCTACTCAAACAAATTGCTTACCATATTTGAATATTAATCATGCCTGTTAAACAGTCGTAACTAGTAGTAACGTAACAGTAACATATCCCTAACTGGTTGTAACCCATTGTGTACTGTTCGTTCTTCCTTTTTGTTGCATTGTAAAGCTTTATTTTAACGTTACAAATTAGTTCCTCAAGGAATCATTTTCTTATGCGCACCTGTTACCAACATGTGGTCATGACCTAGTTTGACCATAATTTAATTAACCTAAAAACTTGTAATACCAATTGATGTGTCTGTGATATATCATGTCAATGGTGCACTAAATTCGTCAAGCGATGCAAAACAAATGGCCTAAATGATAATGTTTTTATAAAAATAGCCCAATAATAATTCGAATTTATCATCATAACAAAATCAAGACAATTTATACTTTAGATTGTGTTATCTTATACATCGTACCTTTGGCGGTGCGATCTATGCCAATAAATATATTATTAAGGTATGCAATTGAATGTAGTAGAATGGTATACATATCACGACAACCATTCAACTGTTATGTTCGATTTAGTGAAAAATATCCGATCACAAAAAACACGTTCAATTCTATTGTAAAATTGTTATTTCAATTTTCTACCAACTTTATAATTTTCTAACAATTTTATACAACCCAATACAAACTATTGATGACTACTAACATTAGATGCGATTACAATTGTAATTCACTTGTCTAAATTTGAAAAGAGTGAAACATCAATGGTGCCTGTATAACCTCGTCAACAAGTTGTAACAGCTTATTAACTGCTTGTAACGTATATATGCAGCATTCTTAGGTTGGGACAACCACTTAATGTCTCGTTCAAAATGTATAGTTACACATCATTAATCAAGCTTATTCTCGGGAAAGGCGACGTCAACGCGTAGTTGCAATCCCTGTGTGTTATTTCTTCCCTGAAATGCGTAACGATGGTAAATCAGCAAATATTATTAATAAAACATACGATTAATGATATACGATGTCCAAGTCTCCAATTAATAACATTACATAAATATGTGCTGTAACGATAAAAGTTTGTCACCTGAGGTGATGGTGCAAATACATGATATGCATCAACATCAAAGTGTGCTGAAATTGCCCCACGCTCCTCCTATATTATATAGTATAAGTAATCGACTGTTAACAAATCATTACCAGTGCCTATATTGCTCACTTATAAAGTTAAATTGGACTAGACATTATAACAAAAATGATATATCAGGCCATTAAGACATCTCTGACGGAGTTATGCTTGAAAAAAATAGAAAATCTGGGATGCATCCATTCTGTAGGGACACTTGCAGGAGGCCCCTGATTAGCCAAACGGTGGACCTTGGAATAATAAAAAATAATACGTTATTAAAGCGAGCATACGTTAACTACATAATTTGCATGATTTGACAGTTTTCGGGTGCCCACCATTACAATTAAAGAAAAAAAGGTAGCTCTACTACATGAACAAGAAAGTTTTATTTTAACTACTAAATGTATGCATACCGTTTGACTTTCATCGATATCGGGAGCAACAGCATTTGGAGGGCCATTCACTGTCTGACTCATTGAATGCGTCTACAAGTTTCGTATGGGCCAAATCATTGTATAAGACAAACAAAATACGTATATCAGAAGGGATGACGGCCGTAACAATATTATTACACAATGTAACATCAATGTAACTATTTATGCTGTTAGAAACATCCAAATAAAAGCAAGCGTCTTGTCCATTTTGTACTAACCGAAACAGAGTCAGTAGATGAACGGCATCCCATAAACATGTATTCCTCAAATGAAACCGATGTCGGCTCCGATTCTGAGGCCTACAGTATTGACACGGCAATAATATTATTTCATAATGAATGTTACCTAAACATTAGTTAATAGTATAACAATAACTTAGTTTTAGCATAAATGTTCCCCAAGTACCAAAATTTGATCCATACCGTAGTCTGTGTAGTTCTTGATAATCTAGATTTTCTTTTTACTCTGTCAAATTTATCGACCCAACTTCGCATCACTCTACTTTTTTTCCCACCGCCTCATTTTTTAATGCCTCTTGCGACTACTGCCTCTCCCATTTCATTTACAATTTCAATTTTATCTCGTTCCTCCATATTCAGATTTTTTTGATTTTGCAAAGGTTGCTCTTCGCTTTCTGAGAGGAGGAGCTCAACTCTCTTTGACAAATCGGATATGACAGTGATTACTACTTTGCTGGTGTCCTCCGACATTGCTGCTCGAGTTGAGACCTTAATCATGGTTGGAGCGAGCTCCCGATAACGAGTTGAAATCATTACTTTAGGATCAGCCACAACTTCTTGTCCTCGCCGATCAAAACAGTCTCCAGCCCGAGCTCTTTTTGTCCATCGCCTCTTAATGTATTCAGGAGAAATTATTTTTATGCCCACGGTATCAAACACCTTCAACGCGTGCCCATATAAAATGCCTTCATTCTCGTATTTTTTGCAACTGCAACGTACACTTAGATCATTCCGATTGAATACTCCTGTTCTTTCAGGTCCTCCATCATACCTCATGACCGCAAACTCCACAAACATCGCTGCATCTTGTTGTCTCAATATAACCATAGCTGTTGACTCGCCATATTCATTTTGGAATGCAACAAATACGGTTGGTGAATACGTCTCTGATGCATGCACAAGCATGGGTGTTTGCCTTAACCCTATCATGGGGAGCTTTTGCCTCATTTTATATTCTGCGATCAGTTCATTATGTCTCTTTTCATCAACCACCCGATTGAAATGTCTAAAGAACTGCACAAGATCATGATCCAGTTTCAAATGATTTTTAATTGCTGCATTTAGGCTTTCGCTAAGTTGGGTGCTTCGCATTCCCGCGGTCTATCTTTCTTTCATCATGCACCTTACCCATTTATCACGAATTCTATACAACCCGGAGAGCCCTTCATTATTTTTTTCAAGATTGTGTTCCTTCACCATCGCCTCCCACACCCTATTGAATTGTTCCACTTCTTCAAACTCATACATACAGGCACCAAACATGTATGGAAGATCACTATTTTCCTTATGGTGATTGCCAAGATGTTTCATAAAATTACGCCTTATGTGAAACGTACATAGACCGTGAAATGTTTCAGGCATGACAATTGAAAGAGCGGTTGCTATGGCGTGATCTTGGTCGGTTAGTATGGTACTTGGATGTTTTCCGTACATTGCTTCTAGAAATGTACCAAACACCCATTTGAAAGAATCTATCGTCTCATCATACATAAGGGCAGCACCGAATATCACAATTTACCTATGCTGGTTAAAACCCACAAATACTTCAAGTGGCCGGTATTCTTTATTTGTTTTGTAGGTTGTGTCGAATGTTACTACGTCTCCAAAAAAGTTGTAGTCAATTAACATTCCTGTATCAACCCAAAAGATATTCGTTATTTGTTCTTCACAGTCCAGCTGTACGGCATGAAAAAAGGATGGATTCTCGAGTGTTTGCTCTTGAAAATAATTCAGCATGCTACCTGCTTCTCCATATTTCAAGCTCCTTTCCCGTCTCGTTCGAAAATATCGTTTAAGATCATCTCGAGTATATCCCACATTACCCATCCCACCTGCTTCCTTTCCCATAAGCTCATGGCTCTGTTTCAATGAAAGCCCAGCATCCTCGCTTATTTCAGCTTGGAATCCTTGAGCCACACTCACTTTTCTTTGTGATGGCATCATGTGAGCACATTGAGCAATGTGCAACTCATGATTATGCTCTAAGACAAGGTCATGCACACGGTACTTCATTGTCCCTCTAAACAACACGATAACCATTTTAGCTCCACACCCTGTTTTCGTCGGCGCTCGTGTCCTCTTTGGCATCACATCACCTTCATACTTGCGTTTCACACCTTCTTTGCAGCAACTATATCTCCTAGACGTGGTCACGCCGTCTTTGTCTTTATTCAGATAGTCTTTACGTACACTGAAATCCATTTTAAAGGCATACTTGTTGTAAAACTTGTACGCATCCTCTTCACTGTTGAACTCCATTCCTAACTCAGGAGTCCCATTTTCTGCCAATTTGCTGCAATCCCTTACTTCTGCTCCTGCTAATTATGCATCAAACACCCTAATTTGCAACATTTCATGAATAGTATGTACATAAACGAAAATATAAATGTATATTACCATTTATAATGTGTTATGAATCACACATTACTCGTATACCAAATCCTATTATTACGCTTATCAATATGATTAATGATTCACATCACATTACTTTTACTCTAAGACAACGGCATTATCTATGTACAAATACAACTCCATGTACACTAACTTATACGGACTGTTATTTATTGGTCATACGATGTAAGTCTATTTTAACTGTATGTACATCCACGTTGGTGATTATATTTTGATTCTAGGTTCTTTAGCTCACTGGACCTTATGTCATTCGTTAATGACAACCGCATAAACCAACTCCACATTTTCTACTATTTCTACATTTTGAGGGCCAAACAAGTATTTTCTACTCATTGTAATATATTTCTTACATCATGTAATTGACTTACAACACAATATTCACCCATTTATTATTCACATATGTGTCTTTTCCTCTGCTTCACCTCATTCAACTCTACGCCTCCATTTTATACACGCTGTATGGTCAGGAGAGAGGTAAACTAATATTGCTCCATGAGCATGGACCAATTACTAGATGCACAATGATTCATATCAATTGTAATACGGTGGCAATAACATGTAACTAATTTACAACATGATGTATATTCATTCACTTGTTAAATATGACTTTGTTTCTCTCATCTTTCCCTAATTCCAGTCGACGGTTTACTTGAATACATAACCCTAAGTCTTCCAAAAACTACTGTCCCATCATAGTCCATCACTGAAAAGCTGAATGCTCACACACACACAGTTACGGTACACACATACAAATACAGTACAACTTCACTATTCTTCTATCATCTTCATATTATGTCTTCAGTGACTCTAATTTCATCCTTCCTTTAACAGATGTGCATTTGGGTGACAAATTATTGACCACAATTACTGACATGGTTCAGTCATGTTACCTTGGTCTGCTAATACGCTTCACGTTTCACCGAAGTCGGAGACGTAGCTGCTTCTGCTATTAAGTTGAAGGACAAAATCTGGTTTCGTGAGATGCTGAATTTCCTCTATTTGCTTCTACCTTACCGCCGCTCTTGCACGCATTCAGAATACATACAACGCTCTTATACCCAATTGGAGACCACAGCTGCTTCTGCTATTCAGTTTTACGGACAAACTTGGGCTTCATCTCTGTTTGCTCCTTCCATGCCGCCTGCCTCTCCACCCACTTTTCTGTCAATTGCTACCTTCATCAGAGTAGACTACACCCACTTCACCTAGAAACACCCAGTAGGTTGAATCCCACCCGAACTTCAACTTTCTACCTTCAGTGAGTGGTTGGTCAGAGTAGATTACCTTCACAAGCACATGAAGACGCTTCCCTCAGTTTTGTTTTCTGCGGCTAATTCAAAATTTCAACTTGAATTTCAAAAACCAATTCTCTTCCGTTTGCTCCGTCTGCTCCCGTTTGGAAGTCAACATTTTTTTATTTGGAAGGGTGTCGTTTTTGTGCCCTGCTTTAGCCTTGCTGACTTGGCTCATTTGTCTCCTCACGTTTTTTATTGTGAGGAGACCGTTCAGGAGCGGTCGTCTGAGGACCGCTCTTGCCCCGTATCCGTGCTTCATAGTATTGCTTCCAAGTACAATGGTGATGATGACAAAGCACGTTTCACCTCTGATTTTCATTACCTGCTTCAAAGACAAAGAAATACTTTTAGTTGATTTGATTTGCATACTTTTGCTCTTCTTCTTGTCAGTGCCTCATGTTTCTTTGTTTCATAGTATATTTGTTATTTGCATACTTTATTCCATAGTATGACGGGTTTTTTGCTTTTTTTAGTCATAATTATATGTCATGTCCTGTTTTGTATGAACAGAGGTTTGCACTTAATGCATTAGTTAAATTAGTATTAGTTATTTGCACTTAATAGATGTCATGACCTTTGGATTTATATTTAATTCATCCTTTGGTTCATAAAGGTCCACATAAATGCTTTTGAGCCTTTGGGAATTACTTTTGTATCCTTATTTTTTCACATTTACATTTTATATTTTAATACTAACTACATTTTGTTTAAATACATTAAATTTATCTTTGCAAAATACGTATTCTTTTTTATTCATTTATTTCTTATTAAATACCATTATTTGTTAGTGGAATAATTAATTTTTTATATCATTCTGATTAAATGTATTGTGTTTTTTTGCAATTAATATAGCAATTTTTTTTCAAAAATTTAACATTGAGAGCACTGCCACTACTATTATTTATTATTTTTAAAATAGTAATAATGCCTTTCACTATTTAATTGTTCAGTCTAAAAGAAACCGGACATTCTAAATTTATTTGAGGCCACTACCATTGCATTTAACTTTTTTTTATATATTAGTTAAATTATGCCCTCTTGTTACTTTATTTCATAGTATATTTCTTATTTGCATACTTTATTTCGTAGTATGAGGGGGGTTTTTTTTTGGATTAATCTTCTATACACTGACAGTGTATATACTTTCACCATTAGATGCATGACATATAATCCAAATTTGAATTTGAAGTTCAAATTTTGCATATGTGTCGTACATCTAACCGTGATAGTGTATACACTGTTAGTGTATACAAGATTTACTCTTTTTTTTTTGCTTTTTTTAGTCATAATTATATGTCATGTCTTGTTTTTCATGAATAGGGTTTGCACTTAATGCATTAGTTAAATTTATTAGTTATATTTATTGTTAGTTATTTGCACTTAATATATGTCCTGTCCCTTGGATTTATATTTAATTTATCCTTTGATTCATAAAGGTCCAAATAGATGCTTTTGAGCCTTTTGCAATTACTTTTGTATCCTTATTTTTTGACACTTACATTTTATATGTTAATACTAATTACATTTTGTCTAAATACAATGAATTTATCTTTATAAAATATGTATTCTTTTTATTCGTTTATTTCTTATTAATACTAGCCTTTATTAGTTGATTAATTAATTTTTTATATCATTCTGATTAAATATATTATTTTTTGCAATTAATAAAGTAATTTTTTTAAATTTAACATTTGAGAGCAAAAACACCGCTATTAATTATTTTTTAAAAAATAATAATGCCTTTCACTATTTAATTGTTCTTTCAAAAAAAAAAAGGACATTCCAAATTTATTTGAGAGCACTACCATTGCATTTAATTTTTTATATATATTAGTTATATTATGTGCAATTAAATAACAATTTCATAATTAATTTTTTATAACATTCCCCATGTATGTCTAATTTTTTTTTGTAGTGTATCAAGAATTTTTGGTAAGTTTGGTATTAGTAAATGAATATTTATTATTACCTTTTAGTTATTATTTGACCTTTTTATATATTATTAACTCCAAAAAGTTATGGGCAGGGTCTTCAATGTTATTCTGGTTTGCAAGAAGTCTTTTTTAAGTACAATGTTGTACCGGAGTCAGCAAGCTCCTAGTAGTTGCTTCCAAGTACAATGCTGACGACGACAAAGCACGTTTCATCTCCATTTTTTATTACCAACTTCAAAGACAAAGAAATACTTTTGTAGCATTTGACATTTTGACTTGTATACTTTTGTTCTTCTTTTTGCTCTTTTCTCCTTTTCTTAGCTCTGTCTTCCTTGTCGTGCTCCAGCTTCAATGCTTTTCAGGTTTGTTTCCATTTTGTTTGTTCTCTTTCCTTTTGTTTCAGTGTTTTTTTTACTATAAATATTTTAAATAGCTTTCATTTATTAGTGTATATTCTATATTACTGTCTCCTTTGTATAACATTAGTACTTGTTAAATGTCAAAATGATTACATTTCTTTAGTTTTTCTATTTATAATTTGGCTTAAGTTTTTCCTAGCCATGCAGTTGATCTTTCTTCCTGTGTTTGTTCGTGTAAACTTTGATCATGCATGTCTTACTTGTATGCTTTAAATTTAGTTGTTTTATTTGTTTGTTCCTATTTTTCTTTCTCCGCAAATTTTCAAGAACTATGCTTACTGAATTTTTTGAGATGAATAGATTGAATAAAGAGGCCCAAAATTTGAATTGTCTATATAGAGAATTTTCTTGAGCATTTTGTATGGACTTCATCTGCTAAGCTCGGGACAGAAAGAAAAAGGTTAAAAGTGATTGGAAGACTTGTTATAGTTTCTCCAAGTGAAGGCAAAAGGTATTATTTAAGGCTTTTACTTGCACATATAAAAGGTCCTACTTCTTTCGATGATCTATTGACAGTCAATGGTAGAAAATTTTCATCATATAGAGAAGCTGCACTAGAATTGGGTCTATTAGAATCTGACACATACATAGAGGATATTTTAGAAGAAGCAACTGCATTTCAAATGCCTTCGTCTTTACATTTCCTACTTGCAGTAATGCTTGTCTATTGTTTGCCATCAAATCCTAAAAATCTTTGGAAAAAATTTCAGTTGGAGTTCTCAAGAGATTATCAAAACGCAGAAAGATATAATGAATATGATTCCCTAGAGATTGCACATAAAGTTTTGGATGATATTTATAGGGCATTACAGCAAATGGGTAAAATTTGAATGACTATTGGTTGATGCCTGAAGATTCAGCTTTGACTATAATAAGCATTCAACCAAAGAATATACAGCCAACGTCAGAAGAACTCTTAATGCCTTCAATGTTAAATGATCAGCAGAGGCTAGCATATGATTCTATACTGAAAAAGGCACTTTGTAATTATACCTGGCAATTGGACGGGTTGCACGGGTTGATGTTGGGTTTTCATTTAAATGGATTATACCCAATTCGCCCAATATTAGGTTGGATTAATTTTGGGTTGGGTCATGTTGGGTTATCTCAAACTCATGACCCAAATATGATCTAATATATTAAATAATAGATTTTGATACATAAACTCTCTCAAATATATTTTTACATACCAAAAAAAA